GGACCACCAAGCAGCTGCAGCACACCAAGCATCTGCAGCGCCCAGCGCAGCAGCGGCAGCAGCAGCAGCAGCACCAGCAGCAGCAGCAGCAGACCACCCAGCGGCAGCAGCAGCAGCAGCAGCACCAGCAGCAGCAGCAGCAGACCACCCAGCGGCAGCAGCAGCAGCAGCAGACGACCCGGTGCCTGCAGAGCACCCAGCGCAGCAGCGCCCAGCGCAGCAGCGGCAGCAGCAGCACCAGCAGCAGCAGCACCAGCAGCAGACCACCGGAAGCCCGGCTAGCTTTCGTTCACCCCCTCTGGCCTCAAGTGATGGCTGCGCTAGGAAGACCTCAACCCTATAGACTGTAGACTTCTAGACCCCAGGTAGCCTAGGTCCTCTAGTCCACAAAGATGGAGGAAGGAAAGCCGAAAGCCAGCACTTTATTTTGCTTTTTTATTGCATTTCAATTTTGGCAGGTCAACCCCCCCACACGTTCGGCGCATTGTTTTTGCACTTCTTCTTTTTTTCGCATTTTTGTCGCTTATTTTTCGCATGTTTTTCGCTTTTTATTTGCATTTCACTCGAGACATCCTCACATTTTAGCTTCCCAGATGCTGCCTGGACAGGTTCCCAGGGTCTGCCTGTCCCACCCCTGTCACGCGCCCCCCCTCGCCAGCCGCGTCCCCGCGCCACCCTGTCCGCAACCCCGCCCCCGCTCCGCCCGCCCTTGCAAGCCCTTCCCCACCTGCCCCCGTCCCCGCCCCGCAGCGCAACCTGCCCAGCTGCCTACCTGCCAATCCCGCCACCGACACAAACCCCCGCTTTCTCTCTGTCTCAATTGACCTTTACCAACGGACAGATCGAAAAGAGAAGACAAATCAAGAAACAAAGAGAGAAGCAAGAAAGAGAGAGAGAGAGAGAGAGAAAGAGAGCACGAAGGAGTCCGCGCTTCCTTTTTTGCGGCAGTGGATCAATCTAGCCATTTTTTGCACTTTGGTGTGCTTTTTTTTGGATTGCATCAACCTAGCGTTCTTTTGTGCATTTTTTGGTTGCTTTTTATTTTGGACTTTAATTGCATTTTTTTCAAAATGGGCCTTTCCTTGTGGAAGCCCACAAGGAAACAACATAACATGATTGAAGCAAACGGCCTTTTGCGGTCTTAGGCTATATGGGTGGTTTGATTGAAAATCACAATAACTCGGCTTTTGCGTGCTTGTCCCATTACAGGAGTTCAGGGTGATGACCCCCTGATGAATTACTCAAACAAACATGCGTAATGGAGAGAATTCAAGGTTGCGGGAACCTATCCGGGATGGTCATTGTCACCTTCCCCCTTCCCCCTTACAGGATAAGCCTTGATAAACCCAACCAATCAGGGGGCTCCGACACAGATGGATGATTTGGGATGAGTTTGGTCCAATCCTCATATTCCCAGTGTCCTGATCCCTTCTGTGACGCTTTCGGTTCCGAGTTCCGAGCAGGTGGAGATGCATGACCGATTGGGAGCTTGGGCGAGGCGAGCACACCGTGACGATTCCCGTGAGAGACGTGCGACCGGTGGGAGCACACCAGTGAGAGCACGTCTCCTTGTTGGGTTTGGATGGCGTTTTTTGCTTTTTCTCCTGCTCATGCGGAAGCAAGGGTGCCTCCAAAGCGAGGTAGTATATAAGAACATTAAAGGTCATTGGCTTGCTTTTTAATGTAGATTGTGGATGATTGTGGAGCCTTTCTCATGGATGTTCAGGTGCATTTCAACCTGTAAGGAAGTTGCAGAGCTTCCAAAGGGTGAGTGCGATTTTTGTGCCACATGAGACATGACACATCACCAAGGAGTACCTGATGTTTGTTGGTCATGTGGATGGACCTAAGTCTTCGGTTGCCAAACCAGCCGCCATGTGACAAGAGTCTTGTGGCCATTGTGGCCCAGTTGTAATGGTTCCAAGATACCTGCTGGTGACCTGAGTCCCTGATATACCAAAGCTAGTATAGCTCACCTGAGCTGGAGAGCTGGGATGCTGTCTCTTCGGAACCTGTCTTCATGGCGGCGGCTAATAGGTTACCTGTCTTCATGGCGGTGGCTAATGGGTTGCTGGGGATCCCTTGATTCTCCTCTATCACCAGAGAATCTACTACTACAGTGTACTCAGTCCACATCACTCCAACCTTAAACAACTACTGCCATTTACATACCAATACTGTGTGGAGGCTGCATACCTGCAGCTCCCAGGAGTTGAACTCTCACAGCAAGTGAAGCACACATGTGGTGCTCAGGCACGCGCAGCAAAACCTTTCGCAGGCGTGCATGTGGAACTGTTGTGAAGTGAACTCCCACAAAAATATACACAAATTGGAATGAAATTCCAGGATTCCCTCGCTTAAAGATGCTCCAAGACCCTGTTCAAGGCGATTGTTCAAACGCATTTCTCAACATAGCGTCAGCAATCTCATCCAGGCATATCTCATACACCTTATGTTGTCGTTTTTTGAAATCAAGCGGCTGGGCGAACGGACAGGGATACAAGACATTATTTGTTGCAGGCCTTGATAACAAGCGCAAATTGCCCCCCGAGTGCCTTTTTGTAACCTACAGACTGAAACTGGTACGGAGATTTGGGTGGATTGGTTAGATAGCCTGAAAGCCATGTGCAAGAGATCCTTCACAGAAATCAATCCTGCAGCAAAACTGGATTTGATGGATAATGGTTTAAAGCCAAACTTTCACGACTGGTTACACTCTGAGATAGTTAATATTAATATGTTGTTGAATATTTATAAGTTCTGTAATGTTCTGCATGTATAGGTCCTGTATAGGTCAAAAAGATGTGTCTCATCAACAAAGCTGTTGAGTGAGCTGTTCAAACACAAGCAGAATGGGCACACGCACGCAATTACCAATGGATTGCCCATGTGAAGCTCCATTTTCACCCCATCTCACCTTCACGCGACGGACTGGGCAGGGCTTGCAACATGCGAGAACTATCGATTGGACGCAGCAGGTCGGCCGCTTTGGTTGGCTTCGGTGCACAAATGTTAGAGATTGCTTCACAGGCAGACAGCACAAGACACTACCAACGGGCTCTTCTCACACGTTGAGTTGAAATGGCTCAGCTGGCTCAAAAACTACATGTCCAGGTGATTTCATATTAAAGGAAGCATTGTATATAAAGGATTCAGTGAAATCTCCTGTGGTTACGTTGCGTTCATGTTGTCACTCTCCAAAGATCACTCAGATGATCGCTTTCGATGCTATGCTTGCTACCTTGCTGGCTGTCGTGTTTGGGCTGGGCTTGGGCACACCCTTGCCCGTGATGCCGTCAGTGAGTTCCATCAATGGGTCCTTAGAGATCACGGTGATCCTTGAGCGTGCGATACTGGCGATCAATGGCGTGACGCTGAAGACCAGGGTGTTCAATCAGACCATCCCCGGACCAACCATCCGAGTGAGGCCTGGTGATGAGATGAAGATTCGTTTCCAGAACCTGCTTGTGGACCAAGGCAGCGCTTATGTGCACAATCAGTTTTCCGCTGCGGATGAGTCCAACCTGCACTTTCATGGGCTACATGTGAGTGGTGAATTGCCCTCAGATGATTCTATGGTCCCAGTCCTGCCAGGGGAGGAGAGGGTGTACATGACACTGCTTCCCCAAGATCACATGCCTGGAACTCATTGGCTACATCCACATCGACACGGTTCCACTGCGCTGCAGCTGGCCGGGGGCGCCGCAGCGGCACTGATCGTGGAAGATGCACCTGGAACACTTCCAGCTCAAGTGGAAGGAGCTCCTGAGGCCACCGATCTAGCTCCGACAACCAACTAAAGTATTGTGGTGGATTTGAGAGTAGATAGCACAGACTCGAAGGTCGGTGGTCTATATGGACCCCCATCTAAGGGATTTACAAAAGGAGATCATGGGGTTTGTGCCATCTACTCTGAAACCACTGTAGCAGGGATGAACATTTCCTATACTATATACATTTATGTACTATGAGGTGTAGGAGGTATATGTTTGTTTTTTGTTTGGTGGCCATTCGTCCTGCAACGAGACTCATGAAGTTGTCCGCCATTGGGTGGCGTGTTGGGTGTTAGCCAGTTTTGTGCTCACATCATTCAGGTGATCCTTGTTGTGATGCAGATCGATCTGGAAACAACAGCTCGGATTGCTTCGAGAGCACGAGATTCTTGGTTTAGCTCTTCGGGCGGTCGTCTCACCACTTTGGTCAATGGCGAGGTCGCTCCCACCATCGGTGTACGTGGAGGAGAGTGGACACGATTTAGAATTGTCTACGCAGGATGGCTGGCAGAGGTTCTCAACTTTGATATCTCTGGCTGCGAAAAGGCGTTGCTGGCAGCTCGGATGCTTGAGGTGTCCGTGGTTTCCTGAGTTATATATATATACACATATATATGGTCCCCTAAACACTGTAAATCTCGTACTTTGACTTCACATCAATCCCAACAGCTTGCCGCAACACCTGGCTTGCTTGTCCGTCGACCCTTTTGATTCCGCGAAAATGAGGCCAAGGATGGTATTTACATTCGTGACTTTCCTCGGATGCTCTCTGGCTATGCCCCGATTCCGGTCGGCGGACGGGCGGATCTCATGGTTCGTTGCATGGCCCCACACACCGAGTACCAGGCAAGCACGGTCCTAGATGCGGGCACCCCGATTTGCCAATGGGAGACCCCAAGCAATGTAGGTGTACAATCCCTGTGTCAGATCCACATTTGGTTTGTTAAGAACTCCAACCAACCAGTCTGCAGTTTGCAGGAGGCTTTGGGGTCCCCAAAACGTCGCAGGTGACCTGGGGTGCCGAGAGAATTGCCACTGTAAGCACTGGCGAGCTGATTCCAAGCAGTTTGGACTTGGAAGCTTGGAGCCCCAGGTGGGAGGACTGACAAAAACCATCCACGTTTTGATGTGTGATACGGTGGCCCTCCCAAGAAAAACCCTAGCTCTTGGCACAATCTTCTCAAGGGTCATCACTTAGTTTTCGGATTGCCAAAGAGTTTGGACTGTCAAGTCCACATAGCCGGTGAGTAGAGACACCCTTACTGTAGCGCTCTGAGCATGGAGACATGGAGATGCCGATCCAACTGACGCTTGCAGCCAGGGAGGAACCCAATCATCATTCACATCTAATCTATTCATTCACTATGGAGGTTTATCTCAACGAGGCGTCTAAGACTGACAATATATGCATACACTTGGTATTAGTATTGGTTTGCAAGGTGACGTGGGTGAGTAGGACACAGACACATCCACCAATCACTTGAGAGGCTGGCATGACTCTTGGCGGACGCGCCCTGCTAGGTACCCAGCTTACCTGGAAGACCTTCAAACCACCGAGACCTCACCAGACTGTTCGTGCGTGACGGAGCTGGAGGGTCGGACGGTGAATGGCCATCTCTTTGAGGAGGACTTCATTCTGCACGAGAGCTACCTGGGTGCCGTGGTCGAGCGTGCGATCACGGCCAGAAGCCACCCGTATCACCAGCATGTGTACCCTTTCCAACTCATGTCCGGCTTTGAAAACAATGATAGGAGAGACAATGACAACCGCAACAACAACAACAACATTGGCACCAGTGCTGGCAATTATGACCTGCCCGGAGACTGGCACGACACAATTGAAGGTCAAGGCGTGGTGAGGTATAAGCCAGCGGCATTTACCGGAAAGGTGATGCTTCACTGCCACCGACTGGATCACGAGGACGAAGGAATGATGAGCATTGAGCTTGTCAAGGATTCTGGCCCTTGCGTGTGTCGATCCCCGTCGCTGCTCCCAACATGGGCAATTATCATCATTGTGGTGGTTCTTCTATTGGTGCTTGGGCCCATCATCATTCTATCCTACCACCGGTGGAGACGCTTAGCCGCGCCAGTGGAGACACGTTGTTTTTATTTTTTGCGTGTTCAACGCCACTTTTGGGAGCAAATCCCTGTCATCCTCTGAGTGTCACACCCCGTGAAGATGTTTTCCATATAAGTGGTTCTTTTTTCTGGGGAAATGGCCATTTCTTGCCAGGATATGGCTCTTGGGCTTTCTGCCCTTCTTCGCGAGCACGAAACGTTTCACCCACACAAGAGCACACAGAGGACCAACCCAGCATCCTTGGCTGCCGAACTCCGGAAGATGCTGGCGAAGTCCGGAAGAGTTGATTGACAGAAATGGGTGGTCTATGTGTATATATGTATGCGAGTATGCATGCTGTCTTTGAAATTTGGGTTGTCCACCGAATGGTGAGAGATGAGACTGAACTCTAATGGCATTATGGTGCAAAAGGGTGCGCAAAGGGCACACAACGATGGAACAAACTGCACAAAACATGCATGTACATGTCGTATACAATGGTATACGGTATATACAACTATGTATATATATATACATTAATATGGTACAATATCATAAGTAAACGGTTTTAGTGCACACCTTCAAGGAAGTGCCCCTACGAAGTGGCATGAATTGTTGGAAACCATGTATTGTTTGCAAAACTGTGGCCAGAACGTCCCAATTTGTCATATCAAGCCTGACCTGATGTGTTTGGCTTGCTCCGTGAGGTACAAGGGGTTCGTGAGTCTGTGAGTACCAGCTTCCAAAAGGCTGGACCGTTTCAAACTCCCGAGTTTTCTGAAACCTGTCACCTGACCTCGGAGAAGATGCTTAGATATGCTCAGTCTAGAGTCACTCTAGCGACTCTAGTGGCCAGACACTGGGGTGGGGACTTGAATGTAACAACAACAGTTCCGAATGGATGAAGCATATGGAGGATGGTATGCCCTGCGGGCGGTATTTCTGGCGGTTCACCTTCAAAGACCGAGGGCCAGGTTCTTTTGCTTGCCAGGTTCTTGAGGAATATGCGACAGGAGTAGAGAAAGTCCTTTCAAATCCATGGCCCACAATGGTACCAGGAAGACTTCTTCAGGAAGACTCTTAACATTGCGCTTGGGGGGGCGAAGTTTGCTGCGCCAGGTGAGTGACACAGCCAGTGCGGCGGGTAGCTCCCTGTCGGAGCAGGTCTCACAGGTGGGACGGAGTCGGACGGAGCGGTGGAGGTGAGGTGGGAGTGGCTGCCCTTTGTGAGTGGCCTTTTTGCTTGTAATGTTTTGGAAGGACTTGGGATAGGTCGGAGAGGTGAGGAGATTGGAGGCTTTTGGATATGGAGGTCATCATGGCATCAAGAAGTGAAGGTGACCCAACAGTTGGCGCAATTGGTGTTTCTTTTGAGAAAGCGGGCTGATGATTGAGACGGGAAGTGGAAGATGTGATTCTTCAGAACTTCAGGGTTGCTACCCTTTGGTTTCCTTGGATGTTCGTTGGGAGGTGATGGTTTCTGGTCGTCGCCTCCAGGGCGTGGAGAGGGCCAAGTCTGTGGATTGGTCTGCCAGGGCAGAGGCGGGCCGCCCTCACGAGACGGCCAGGGATGGCCAGCACCATGGAAGTGAGGAGGTGGATGGTGGGCCAGAAAGCACTAGAAAGCATGAACATGTGGGTCAGCCTTCCTGTAATGCAAAGACCGGATTAATAAACCCCCCCCCCCCACATGGTAGGTCAACAAGGTCAAGAAGGTATGAGATACCACTCATGAGGTCCACTCCCCCTGAATAATGTGGTATGAGACCATTGGACCATGAAGGTAGTAGTAGGGTAGGTAGTAGTAGGGTAGGTAGTAGTAGGGTAGGTAGTAG